TCAGGCTTCTTCACAACATTCTCCAGCACCCGTGAAATGTCTTCCACCTCCTGCAACTCCGCAGAAGCCTCGAGCGCTGTGTGGATGGTGGCGAAGAGAGTGGAATCTATGTCTTCGTGAGAGTGTCCGCTCTGTAAGTATCGGCATTCAAGGGAAAGCAGGCGATGTCTCGAAAGCAAGATGCTGCCCCACCGCAGCATCGTCATATTTTTCAGCTCCTTCGTGGCGTTGTCCGCCTGGAGAATGACATGTGTCATTCTCAAATCCGAGATGCCTCGGGCCGCGATGGTGTCGAGCGCGTAACATATGATCTCGCATGTCCAGCTCGAGTCCTTGAGGACGGTGCCTTCTGCAAGGCACAACAGCACACTGTGACCGTGGCAAATGCAGGCTGTCAAATCGACGTTTGGACGGTTGAAACTGGTGAGTTCTTTGGAACTCATGCAAGGGCTGCGAGGGAACTTAAACTTGGCCCTGTCCATGAAATCCACTATTATAACAAGTGTGCAACGTCCGTCCGGCCCGAACATCTGCCGGGACAAGGAGCGGGACGCCCAATACACGCATCTGTCGCGATACTGTCTCGAAAGGTGACGAGCGTATTCGTCTTGTTGCCGCACCTGAGCACGCCTGTCCTGTTTCAACTTTTTGATGAGGAGGCGGTACTTGATGCAAGTAGCGCACTTCGCGTGCTGTGATCGTTCACGCAGACCCATCTTGGGAAAGTCATCTGCCCACACCTTAACTTAAATCTGCTGTAGCAACCGCCAGCAGCACCAGCAATGAGAAATGAAAGCAGAATGATCCTCGCACTGCCCGAAACCACAATCAAAAAATGCTTCAATGTCACTCGAGTAGCTTTCAGAAACAACTGGTAGCTCACGCTTTGACCATCTGGGGAGGACCGTAGCTTTTGATTCAACATTGCCCAATACTCCTTGAAACTGCCGGGGGGCAGGCAACGGGTGGCACCAACCAGACCACCAGCGTCAGCTTGGGAACCTTAACGGTCAAGCGCATGTTTCGTGCTGTCAGAACTAGCTTCAATTAAATTGATAATTAAGAGCCAACCAGCCCATTGCTGCTCCAGAAGCCCCGAGCACGCTTTAGGAAAGCACGCGGTCGCTTGGAACGAAGAGGTCGCAGATTGGGGAGCTTGACGCTCTCTCCACCTACTTGTCTGGGCGCGGTGGGCATCGGTTCAGCCAATGTGTCGTGAAGCTCTTGCAAAAACTCAATCACGAGCTGACGTTTCTCAGAGCTCTTGCTGTAGAAGAGCCCCTTCCTGGAAATAAACCGGCCATCCATAGGCGGAGCCTCGTCCAAGCGTGCTGCTCCTTGCAATTTCCTGAATCGAGTGGAGCCGAGGCCTACAATCTTGCGAAACGCGGCCACGCACACCGTCTGACCCAGAAGCAGTATTTGCTTCTCGTCCTTCCCGGTCCTCTTCAGCAGAAGCGAATGTACCTTTAGCCCGGAGAGGAGTTAAACAGACAGGACTCAGAAAATACTGAGTCATTCAAATTTTCTGAGTGCATGGCCAAATTGTCGGCATCCCGCTTGTCCAACTGGTACTTCTGAATTCGTATTTCCAGCAGCTGCTGCACCTGCCCTGCCAAGGCCTGGAAGCACTTTCCGCCGCGGCAGGAGCATCTCTGAGCCACCAATTTCTGCACTTGCATCTTCATCTGGTGCTTCTGGATATATGTCAAGATACGAGTCTCAGGCTTTCGTTTAGATCCAGACCTGCAAGATTCCTCTTTCACAAGCTTAACCTTGTCATTGTCTGTTCTGTCAGACACACCAGCGCTTA